GAATATCAGCCGCGGATCAGTGCCGGTTATTTTCACGAGTCATGAGAATCCGCATAAATTAGCCTGCCAACTCATTCCCATGGCTTCATTAAGCGGCCCGTGCCGGCCGTCTGAACACAAAACCACTTTTTCCCAACCGCTCGAATATAAAGATTCGAGACGACACCCACCCGCCGCCGCATTCTCTGCCGCATCCACTTCGACGTAGCACCGGTCAGATCTGGGTCGTAAGGTCACGACATGCTCGCAAAACCCAATCGCCGACTACACTTGGCCCGCAAACAGACGGACGTTAACCCTGCCTAAGATGGCAAAGAACAACGGTAGATCGAGTTCTGCGGTTCGTCCGGAGAGCGTTGTGCTCGCAACCGAATGAATTTTGTTGAAGTTAATGCCCTCCCCCTTCTCCCCCCCTCCCCCTCCTCCCTCTTGAGCACACTTAACTAAAGAATAGTGGCTTGGAGTTTGCCACTGAAACTGCCGTTATCTTTCGATCGCTAAATGGAAAACTATGCGTGCCCCGACATCTTTGTTGAAGAAAAATCACCTCAAAGTTGGCCACCAGGATTTGTCATTAAAAAATAATGTGGCAGAAGTGGGACGCCTCGTATGTGACGTGACGTGACATAAAATTCACGCGCAGTCATTGCAAATACAGTCATTCGGGACCGCGTGTTAAGAGGGTTAAAGTGTCACCATTTTCCAGGTGATTCGCCGCAATCTGTATTATGCACGACGGTCCACTTCCTGTCCTGTTTTATACCGCCGCGGAATATATTGGGGAAAACCATGAGAGTCGGTTATGGGCCGCCAGTTAAGGAAACATTTCTATCAACTGAGATGAACGTTGCAATTTCGTCCCACGAATATGATAAACAAGAAACGATTCAGAACTGTACGAGTAATAATTCTCATCGCTGACCGTCGCTAGATATAAAATTATCGTAAGATTGCGTAGGTATTCGAGTGTAATGTTATAGGCGCGTTGGGAAGTCCTCCAAGTCATTTTGAATGATTATAGTAGTCTTCCGGAGGAAAGAAGGACGGGAATTTTTAAGTTTATAGCGAGATACTCTTTTGCATTCTCTTCACGCAGAAAGTGCATATGATGTAGCACTATTTGAAGAACACAACAGAGAATGCACTTATAAATAAACAAAAAGCAATCTTAATCTTATCTTAACTTTTTGAATACCAATTTACTAATTGTGTGATCCATATATATTTTTAAGCATATCATTATAATATTATAAATAAATAAAATTTCCATGGACTTTGCTAAGATATCATTTTGCTCTCTATTAAATTTGCTATCTATTAAATTTTGTTTTCAATATATTATATATTTCTGTAAATTGAATAAAGCATTGGAGAAATTATAACATGTGTTTTTTTAATTAAAAAATTCAAATTCATATTTTATATTCTGGAATTAATATATAAGAGCAAGTTCTTTCTTAATTTTCATAAAACAATTTTTTTATATAAAGAAATTTAATTAAAATAACAACCTATCATTTTGTAATATCAAATGACAAATACATTCTTAGGGAATTATATCATTGTATATTAATTCACAGGAACTGTGGTAGCTTTAATTCTCTTAAGAGATCTTAATTGCAGATGTACGTTTCCTGTTGAGTAGTATTGTTTAGTGACTGTCTTCTGCGTTAAAGTTTTCCGTAGCATTAAGTTGTACTTGTAAAAGGGAAAATATGGAAATCACACAATTTAAATACGTTCACAGTGATTTTAATTGCACGTTTACTGTCACGCATGACTGTGATTGCGTTTTCTGTCAGTTGCAATTCTTTATCGATCGTTTTTATGTAAATTGTACATTATGTTATGAATATAAATTCTTTATATCTGTTATATGAGCTTTTAACGATGCTGTAATATGTAAACTAGGTTTACAATGATTTAAATAAGATATTTGCTATTAGATAGCACTTACTATGTAATATGCTGTCCTAGAATGTGATTTCATTAAAAAATAACTCTAAAAGTATATGCAATTTGCTTTCATTAATTTGCATTTTTTTTCATTTCATAAAGCTTCTTTTGCTAAAACTTAACAATTATTAACCATTTAAAAATTTGTTAAATAAAAATTCCATGCAAAGCTTGTCAGAATCATAAGTTAAATTTTTCAATATTTTTATCATCCGATCAACAGCTTATCTTAATCGATGCGGCTGATGTATTTGCCACAGATCATAATTGAATTTCCCGTAAGAAACCGGGAACTTATAAGCAATGAAGCTTGACAACGGAAATATCTATGGTTTTATCAAGTGTAAAATATTGCCATAGCGTTCCAGGAAATTGTTATTCAGGCGTTATGGTAATAACGATAACGGCTGGGAGCTGTGGACCGGGAAAGCCGTTAGAAATATTCACATAAATGTACTGAACGCTCTTTAACCATGCCTTTCGGTAAATTTTATTTGAATTGAAGAATTATGGACTCTGAATATCTTCTCAGAGCTTCGCAGCTAACGTTACATCTTAATTTACCAAAACCTATTTAGCTTTTAATAGCAAATAGATTCGCGATTTCTTAAATTTCTTCATACAATGTTAATTAATTTCATCTGTCAATTAATTTTTTTTTTTTTAGTATAAAATATAAAAAGAAGAAAATATTATATGTTTTTATACGTATCTTCTCATTATCGTTAATAAATATTTCAGCAGATCCCGTTGCGGGACAAGTGTTCTCGTCCTTCGACGAAAGCTCGGACGAAAGGAACGACGCGGAAATTTTTCGCGCAGTCGTCGAGTCAATGAAACAATGGACGCTTCATAAAAAGCTTAATCACAGAGGAAAAAGGGAAGTGTCCAAGGTTTGCTATGAGGACATCGGATGCTTCGAGGATACCGGACCCTTCAGTTATCTAGAAATGCTACCGTCGCCGCCGAAAGATGTCGGAACCAGGTAAGAAAGGCACGAGAAAATTACGTCTTACAGCATCCGTTCGTCTAACAGCATAAGAAACGCTACGTTTTCGTGCAAACTGTTACGGAAGACACCTGGTACTGAAGTTATCTGAACTACTTGACATCACGCGATAAACACGTTTGCGTGACACCATGGCACCACGGCATATAAAATGTTTTTATCGTCGCGTTAAATTGTATATATATCTACTTCCCTTCGACAGATTCCTCGTGTACGGAAGTAGAAAGGCGAGATCGATCCCGATGGAGGTGCCCGCCGACGACATAAATGCCGACAATGCAAACCGTGCCATAGATCCCAATCTCCCAACGAAAGTAATCGTGCATGGATTTGGAAGCGACTGCAATCACTTATGGGTTTACGATATGCGATCCGCGTTAATGAGCATTCACGATTGCAATATAGGTATTTATGTAACGAAGCTTGCATAACTATTTAAATGTGTACTCGAACGTATTTTAAATTCGACATACATCTTTCGATCTGCGCAAGAATTTGCGGAAAGTTCAAGTGGTAAACGCTATTCTCTACGTTTCGCTTCACAAAATAATGGAAGATACATCTCCATTTTATTTATTAAATTTTATTAAATTAAACTAGAGAAATTATTTATTACTAGATTTGCATTTCTTTAATGATAATACTTTAATCATATTCACATAATAATGTTACTTGCGCAATAAAATGCAAGCGCAGTTTCATTTCAACATATCCTTTCATCTTTTTTAATTATAAATAAATATGTATAATAATCAAATGATCTCATTTAAAATGTAATATTCTTCTCGGAAATGTGACCTAAATAACTGTACTATTTTTAGTTTGTGTGGATTGGGGACCCGGCAGTGCCGTACCCAATTATGTAAGGGCAGCGGCCAATACCCGACTAGTTGGTCGACAATTGGCGAAATTAATCCGCAGCTTAAACGTGCCACTGGAAAAGGTGCATATGATAGGATTCAGCCTGGGCGCCCACGTGGCCGGTTTTGCCGGTGCAGAACTCGGAAACGTATCCAGAATTACCGGTAGGTTAAACACTTCATGCGAATCTTTATCGATATGATCTGATAAAATCTCTATGCGCAATAATATAACACATAAATAATTTGAAACAATTCTTTACATATACTTTCAAGTCTTTTACGAAGGAAAACTTACTTCGGTTGCTGATGAAGCAACTTCGATCAATTTTATCGTCGTATTTGAAAGTCAAAAATCAATTTTCTTTTTTTTTTTTTAATTCTAACGAAGAGAAATGAGGATATTTAAATATTGATGTAATTTTAATACTCTTACATGAAGCATTTGCGATAGTGTTATTGTCGCTGCTATGGTATTGTTGCTCAGGCTCATTGTATTCGTGCGTATTTATGCATCCACTATTAATGCATCAACTGGAATCTCCGTGTAAATTTCTCATGCGTGAGATATATCTCGACGAACGCAACAAGTCCAGCCGATTGAGCACGAGCTCGGCCGTATAATCGATTATTAGAGAGTAACTGTAACAAGGTCTCTCGACAACCATTTCGATGCATTTAAATGCTTGCTGCATTCTATACCTCGACACGCGTCAATGCCTTTTGATCGAACACCACCATGGTGAACTGTCGAGCGCGCATTTTTTCTTTACTATGTAAATTCATGTAATAAGGCTTCTTCCCCTGACTTCACCTGACTTCTCCTTCGACAAGATGAAACGAGTAGTTTTGAAATTTTATATTGTCTGAACAAGCGAATATCCTTCCGCCGACGTGTTTCGTTTACTTTTTCAGTGATATTTCGTGTAGAATTGAGAAACGATTCTTTTCGCAATTTGTCCCTAATTTGCTGTTATGCGCGAATTTTATTAACTACAAGGCGGATTGTGTTTTTCCATCCATTGTTCTTTTTATGTGATCTCTGCCAACACATTTTGCCCGGATTTCAACAAGGAGAAACGAGTATTTCTTAAGCTTAGGGGAACCAAGTTGTATCCTTCTGTGTTTTCATGCTTCTTCAAGGCTGCTTATTTCGCGTAAAAATTAAAAAAAAAAAATAGTTTTCGCAATCCCATTTTAATCCCAATTCCATACGTTCACTATCGTATGAAGGCATGTAATAAATGATATACCTGGCTATACGCGCGGCATATTAAGTAAAAGCGTATCTGTAACAACCCGCGCACCTGTGGGAGTAACCGGTTGGCATTTTTATAATACGCGCACCTTCTACATTACTTAGTAATTTTGCATCCGAACGCGTATTCATGATGGTAATTTTATAAAGTTAAAATTAAATTTTTCTTTAAATCTGATTCCGATCTTAACGAAAATGACTGTAAGACCTGTTACTCCTTACAAATTTCTAGATCAATAATGTTTTTCTACTTTTCATATTTCATTGATCGTTATCTTTTCGTTACGTAAGAAATTTGCTGGTAACGATTACGAAATATATTGCGATGATCGTTGTATGTTTTCGTATGCAAATAGGATTAGATCCCGCCGGACCGCTTTTCGAGTCGCAGGATCCGAGGGTTCGACTGGACGCGACAGATGCAAATTTTGTAGACGTTATTCACAGCAATGGCGAACAGCTCATCCTGGGCGGACTCGGTTCCTGGCAGCCTATGGGGGATGTGGATTATTATCCGAATGGTGGGAAAATGCAAAGCGGATGCTCGAATATCTTCGTCGGTGCCGTTTCTGATATTATCTGGTGTAAGCTCATCTCAGCCGTATCCAGAAAAATTAAGATTCAGAAATTAAGATCCAAATAATTGTTTCATTATTGTTTGATTATTATAGCGAGTGCAGTCGAGGGCAGGTCGTTGTGCAACCACCGACGGGCATACAAATTCTTTACCGATTCCGTAAGCCCGAAGTGTCGATTTCCGGCGTTTCCCTGCGATCATGGCTATGAAGGTTTGCTGAAGGGTGATTGTTTCCCCTGTGGCACGAACGGTATGGATCGACCCTGTGGCGACATGGGTTATTACAGCAGCGAGTCGCCTGCCAGGGGCCAACTTTATCTGGTGACGAGAGATGAGGAGCCTTTCTGTGCTCATCAGTATCAGATTAAAGTGTACAACAGCCGTAGCGAGAGATCCGCCAGGAGTTATGGCAAGCTTCAGGTGAGCACTCGAGATGTTCATCGATAATAATAAAGATGAATAATGTTAAAAATTTATATAATTTATATGATGTAATAAATGGGCAAATGAGAATCAGCGCTGTTTACGGTGCGCAATTGACATTTTTTATTATAACTTAAAAATATATAAAATATATAAAATATATAAAATATATAAAATATATATATATATAAACAGCGCTGATTCTCATTTGCCCATTTATTACATCATATCTGATACCGAAAATCAGCTCATTAATATATTAAAAATTTAATTTCCCTCTTGCAAATTATTACATATTTTAGAGATGAAGGAATTATCTTGATTTTATTCTTGCATGCAAATCCATTTTTTTCAAATACCGCTTCTTTATTTTTAGTAAATAAATTTTGATAATTTTAAAATAATTTTTTTGACGTATCAATGTTTTACGATTTCTTATTGTTTCAGGTCACACTTGTGGGAAAAGATTCATATAATGACACGTTCGCGATGACTCGCAAGGACGAAGAGCTTCTAGTAGGAGCCATTCTTCAGAAAATCGTCGTGCCACATCCTGCAGTTATCAATCTCGAGGCGATCGAAGTAAGTGACTTATCATCATCTTTTCATTTTATGAGTTAAATGCCATAAATTATATTATTATTTCAATGTGTTAACAGATCAAATACACGGCGTACAGTGGTTGGATATCATCTGGCTTGGTGTCCTGGACGATCGACAAAGTAGCCATCGTCGATAGCTTTGGCAAAACCTTGTCCGTTTGCAAGAAGGGTTTGATTCTGGAATCCGGCCACTCGGTTTACCTACCCCTTTATCCTGGCGAATGCAACATACCTTTGGACTCTGACAACTCTACCGTGTCTTCTCCGATACCGGCGCTGGAACGTGTACCAATGGAGGACAAGCAAGGTGGCATAGGTCCTTTCACAAAGGAGCAGAACTATGAGACGAAGGATTCCGGATATTCCATGGAGATTCTTTCGACGGACAGACCGTCGCAGAAGCGGGGTCTCGGTCCGTTCACGAAGGAGCAGAATCGACGAGTCGAGATGGAAACGGCGACGATTCTCGAGGACGCGGAGAAGCAGCGCAACATCGCGAATCCGTGGATCGTCATAGACATATCGGGTGACGGTGACTCAAACTCGCTGGAGAACGCCGAATCGGAACACGGACGAAGCTTCGCCGGCGCCGCGAACTTGATCTATCGTGCCTCGACGGCGCCGGAGCGCGTCGCCGAGACCACCGTAACCACCATCACCACCACTACGGAGTACCTGCCGGAGATTAGAGAACCGGTACTGCGCCCGAGTAAAAAGGAGGCTGGCCGTTCGCTGAGATTGCCCGAGATTACGGAGCCGATCTTGCATCCACGCGCCACCAGGCACAACACGCGAAACGAGGTGGAGCAGCAGCAGCAGCAGCAGCAACAGCAACGCGACAAGCAGCGCGACGAGATACAGGAGACGTCGTCGACCTCCACCAGAGCGTTCACCGTGCAGTTTCTGCCCGAGCGACTGGCCAACATCCTGGCGCAAGCGGAACGATACGCCCGACAAACTTTGTTGCCTCTGATCTCGCAGTACACGCCGAGCTTCGTGACCGGCATACGACAACACGAAGAGCCCAAGTATTTTCCTATCTTGAGCGACATAATAAACTCGAGGAGCACCGATAACACCGCCAAGGCCAGCAAGATGACCAGTCGACAACAGAGTAACGAGCAAACTGACATTAACCAGCGCAAGACCGACGAGACGTCCGACCTTGAAAACGGACGTCACTTTGAGGAGTCCACTTCGAGGGCGCGGATGGAGAACGGCGAGACCGAGTATGCTGTGCCGAGAGCCGAAGTGCCGCCGGTGATAGTCGAGGCTGTGTACCCGGAGAAAATGGCGAGTGCAAATTCTACCGGTCTCGAGGTGAGAACAGTGACCGAGACCGAGACCCAACGTGAGGACAGCGATTGGCAGCCGATCGGTGAATCGGTGACTCCCTTGAAAAACGTTTCGTCGCAAAGAGATTCGAATGCCTCGCGATCGCTGGACTGGTCGGTCGGAAACAGCCGCGACTGGACTTCCTCGCGGACGACGAGTGCGGAAGCTGAAGTCAAATCTGATGATTGGATACCGCTCACGATTAAGCCTGCCGTTATCTCGACGTCGACCACGAAGACGTTAAGCGAAGAAACGGTAGCAATAGCGATCTCGACGAGTGATACCGTTGACAATTCGCGGGAATTCGCCAAAGACAGTGTCCTCGATGAGGCTAAAGAGGAGGCTACGACTACTGCTAACGCGTACGAGAGGAAGTTCATACCTCTGATCGATTTGGAGAAGACGATCGGTTCACCTTCGTCGACCGATACTAACGACGTTCCGGTATCCACGACGATTGCTTCGCATATTCAAAAGATTCCGCGATATAAAACGACGGCAAAAAGTGCCAGGACGATAACAAAATCCGCGATGATGTTTCCGTATGCTTATGAGCGAAAAAATGATCCTCGGACAAGATACATACCGTTGATCCCGGAAGAGGACATGGGCAAAAGTTATCCGTTGTCGGAGAGGGATCGCTAATCATATATGCTGATGAAAAAAAAGAAATAAGATTCGAAACATTCTTTTAATTTTCGCGAGACGCGAGAGTGTACCCCTAAAAAGCGCATTATTTTATTTATATTATCATGTCATTAACATAATGGGGAAAAGAACTTATTTCTTCAGTAAAATTCGAAATTCATTTTTATATAATCGCTCTCTTTGTTATGTATTATAAAAATGAAAGTATGAAAAACTCAAGATTAATTACAACGGAGTTATTTTAATCAGATAAAAATGTTTGCAAATTTAATATTTTCAAAAGATAGAAACTACGTATTATTTCCCCAGTGAACAAAAGTGTAAATCTCCGATACCGCTTAGTCTATATTATTCTTTCAATAAGAAGTGGAAACTACAAGAATGATTTTTGTCGACGACGAAAGTTAAAAATAATAGCTTTAACAAAACTTTTCAAAATAAAACTTATAAAGCAGAATTTTGCCACAATTAAGCCTGTGATGAGAAATAATACGACTTAAGTTCAATTTATACTCTTCTTATCTTTGTCACAAAATTAAATTGTTATTTCTTGCGTGGCGGTGATAAGATAGATATTAGATATTAAAAAATTCAAATTAAGTGCAATTTCTGATAAAATGAAATATATACTCGTGCCTTATGATAGTTGTAGTATTATCTTAGTTATAATATTATCTTAGTGTCATTGAACTATATGAAAAAAATTTCAGGAAAGATCGCAAATTTTTCTCTCGGTCACTAGAATTAATAAGATTTAATGATTTTAGGAAAAAATCTTTAACTTTCCTTTTGTTTTTGATAAAAATTGGGAGCCCTTAACTTTTATTACCTTTGTATATATATATAGGTAATTTTTTACATAGCTATATATATATATATATATATAATATATACAACACACATATATA